TGCTGCCAACTCACCATTCAGTGGTTGGGGGAGCAGAAGTTCACAGTATTTGTATACACTCTGCTTTCAGAGATTCCTTCCATAATTCTCTGTGTGGCAGAAGTAGATGGGAGGGTATGTCTATCTCATTCAGTCACTTCCTAATGCAACCCTTTTTGCTGCATCATGCATGTGTCATTCCAGTTGCCTGGTGACACACACAGGTGTGACTTCAATGCTTTTCCACAGTTCCACATATCCTAAAGGAATCCCCTCATGTTACATTAAGACAAGATATAACTTTATATGCTTCCTTTTTATCATCCAGTTTCAAATTAATTCCTTAGCAGCTATAGTGTTTCAAAACCAGCATGGAATAGATATGCTCTCTCCTGCCCAAGGAGGCACCTGCCTCATGCTCCAGGAAGAATGCTGTTTTTGGATCAACCAAACAGGCCAACTACAAAATCACATTCGTGAATTTTCAGACAGGGCCAGGCAACTCCAGGCCCAGGCTGAGCAGGGTGGGATTCCTGGTTTGGCTTCTAGTTTTGAAAATCTTGGATACTGCCTATCCTGGGTCCACTCACTTCCCTACTTATCTTACTCCTTTTTAGACTTTGTATTTTTAATATCCTTGTTCATATTGTGTCTTCCGGGCTAGCAACAATTCACCTGCAAATGGCTGTACAATCAAATTATTCAAGCATACCGCTTAGCCTCATGGATCAGGCTGCTGACATTCCATATAAAACCCTAACTTTTTCTTGTTTATAGAGGGAACAAGTGACACTATCCCAAAACCAAATCTATGGCCCTAATCAGCCTGAAGGAGATATGGAAAACTGAACTTTGACCTTCAGTACCCCACCATTTGGATGGTGTCACTTGAGCAGGGAATGTCAGGCAGGATATATAGTAAACCAAGGAAGGAAAGGGGAAGGAGACATATTTCACCCATTAATTCAGCAGTCCTGAGCCTGGTGTGATAAGATTGCTGAATGTTCCAAACTTAATAAGCAAAGATAGCTTGAGACTCTGATGGGACAGGGCATATCTGTGCTGGGAAAGGGAGCCTCTGTAGCAATTTCACTATGACAGAAAGCCTTTACTAGCTGAGAAAGAAAGGCTTTGTAACTGTATATTGGTACCAAGGTCTAGAAAAGGAAGAAGGAGGGGTGCCTAGAAGCTAACTAAAGTATATAATCCCTGAAACCCAAATAGTTGGAATCTGAGTGACCAACTGTAGCCTTTTTGCTTGACTGTATCAGTAAACTTGCTATTTCACTTCCACTACATGTGTTGTCTCTCATTTGAATTATTATCTTGTAAGTGAGGCAAGAACTAAGGAGGCAAGCTCCTGACTTGGGTCACCCCAATAGCACAAAAGGTGTATTTCCAGGTGTTTTTCTTTTAAAACTTCCCCCAGAATCCAGTGCATGCCAGAAATAGCTGCATTATCACCTTGGTTGTCAGAGAAATGCATGCTGGTTTTGTAGCCACACAACAGCTACTGCTCATGCACCACCCTTGGTGCTTCCCCACCACTCCCCTATTTCTGAGAGAGGGTTCCTACTTTACAAAATAACTTCAAGCAACTTCAAATGCACATGGGTGGTAGAAAAGACTGTTACAAGTTTCTTGATGTAGGCAGGTCAAATGACATTTCCATTCCAAGGTTAAGGAAAATGAGGTGCAGGGAAGTTACATGATTTTTGCCAAGATTCTAAAGCCACAAATTAATGACAACAAGAAGTATTCCCACTTTCTTCTATCCTAAATCAACACTCTCAACATTGCACACATGCATTGCTTTTATCAGAGAACACATTTGTTTTGTGTTTTTATTTATTTTTTTAATTTTTATTTTATTGATTATGCCATTACAGTTGTTCTATTCCCCCCCTTCATTCCCCTCCACGATGCACCCCCACCCCTACCATTCCCCCATTTAGTTTATGACCATGTGTCTCAAGTTCTTTGGATTCTATATTTCCCATACTATTCTTGCCCTCCCCCTATCTATTTTCTACCTACCGTCTATGCTACTTATTTTCTGTACCTTCTCCCCCTTCTCCTCCCACTCCCCTGTTGCTAACCCTCCATGAGATCTTCATTTCTATGATTCTACTCCTGATCTAGTTGTCCTTTTAGCTTGCTTTTGTTTTAGATGTGGTTGTTAATAACTGTGCATTTGTTGTCCTTTCACTGTTCATCTTTTTTATCTTCTTTTTCTTAGGTAAGTCCCTTTAACATTTCATATAATAAGGGCTTGGTGATGATGAACTCCTTGAATTTGATCTTATCTGAGAAGCACTTTATCTGTCCTTCCATTCTAAATGAAAACTTTGCTGGATAGAGCAATCTTGGTTGTAGGTCTTTGGTTTTCATGACTTGCAATACCTCTTTCCAGCCCCTTCTTGACTGTAAGGTCTCTTTTGAGAAATCAGCTGACAGTCTGATGGGAAGTCCTTTGTAGGTGACAGTCCCCTTATCTCTTGCTGCTTCTAGGATTCTCTCCTTCATTTTCATCTTGGATAATGTAATTATGATGTGCTTTGGTGTGTTCCTTCTTGGGTCCAACTTCTTTGGGACTCTCTGAGCTTCCTGGATTTCCTGGAAGTCTATTTCCTTTGCCAGAACGGGGAAGTTCTCTTTTATTATTTGTTCAAATAAGGTTTCCACTTGTGACTGTTCCTCTTCCCCTTCTGGTACCCCTATAATTCAAATGTTGGAGCGTTTAAAGATGTCCTGGAGGTTCCTAAGCCTCTCCTCATTTTTCTGAATTCTTGTTTCTTCATTCTTTTCTGTTTGGTCATTTTTTGCTTCCTTCTGGTCTACTCCCTTGATTTGAGTTCCAGTCTCCTTTCCATTACTATTGGTTTCCTTTGTACTGCCATTCATTTCAATTAGTTTAGTCTTCATATGTTCCTCTAATTTGTGACTAAAATCAACCAGTTCTGTGAGGATCCTGATCACCAGTGTTTTGAACTGTGCATCTGAAAGTTTTGCTATTTCTTCGTCACTTAGATTTGTGGGCTCTGGGGCTTTGAGATCTTCTTGAGACATTTTTGGTCTGTTCGAGCGCATTAAGTATGAGGAGCAGATCCTTAGGGGCGGGGTGGGGCGGGGCCTCCAGGGCGGGGTCACTGGGTTGTGATGCTGTTTGTGGTGGCGGGGTCAGAGTGGGGAAATGGTGTCCCCCTATGCTTCTTCCTGCCTCTGGGTGAGGATTGAAGCCTTTGATGTTCACCAGGGTAGGGTTGTTCTGGTTGCTGGATTGTGACGCTGTACATGGGGGCAGGGTCAGAGCCAGGAAATGGCAGCCCTCTCTGCTGCCTCCAGTCGCTGGGACCCGCTAGGTCCAGTCTCACTGCCCACTTACTCGTTGGTGTATCTGCACACAGATGCACCAGCACAGTCAACCCGCCACCCTTCACCCTCGCAGGATCTGCTGGTTGCTCACTGGGTGGAGCTCACTAGGTCGCTCACTGAGTCTGCCTTTGCAACCCCATGCCTGGGATCCGCTCTTCTGAGTCCTTCTGACCAAGTTTTCCTGTGCAAACCCGCTCTGCCAGCTGCTGGTTTCGCACCTCTTACCAGTCAGGCTGAAGAATTCATTGTTATTGGACTTCCGAAAAGTTCAATTTTCTTTGTTCTGGCTGTGTTTTCTGTTGCTAATATTTTGTTGTCTCTAAACTTGGTTGTGTGAGAAAGCACAGCATCTACACCTATGCCTCCATCTTGGCGGAAGTCTGTTTTGTGTTTTTATTGAGATCGTAGAAACATCAAGGGTTATAACTGACACATGGTTCGAGTTTGGATAACCTAAATCCCTAGCTACACAGATTTGTTTCAGGCTGAAAAACTTTCTGTCTGAAGGTCCTTTTCTGTCTTCAGAAAAGGCAAAGATTGTGCATAGCAATACCAAATATCTTTTTTTTAATGTTAATTAGAAAATTTTTGTTCAAGTACTCCTCTACCCCCAACCCCAGTCATCCCCACCTCCTTCCCTTGATCCCACCCCCACCGGGTTTTATCCATTTGTCCTTTATAGTTTTTCCTGAAAACCCTTCCCTTTTTCCCACCCATTATCCCCTCCCACTTCCCCTATGGTTACTGTCAGTCTGTTCTTAATTTCAATGTCTCTGGTTATATTTTGCTCGTTTGTTTGTTTTGTTGATTAGGTTCCTGTTAATGCTGAGAGCACATGGTATTTGTCTTTCATTCCCTGACTTGTTTTACTTAGCATAATGCTCTACAGTTCCATCCATGCTGTAGCAAAGGGTAGGAGCTCTTTCTTTCTTTCTGCTGCATTGAATTCCATTGTGGAAATGTACCATAATTTTTTGATCCATTCATTTACTGATGGACACTTAGGTTGCTTCTAGTACTTGTTTATTATAAATTGAGCAGCACCAAATATCTTAGTACAGAATTAAACATGTTTCTTTTCTTGCCTTCTAATGGATTTACTATTTTAACAACATTCACAGTTTCTATCCTGTAGGAAGTTGTATTCTGGAGGAATTACACAAGTTTTGGTTAAGATTTATAGACCAAGAGCCATATCTACCAGCTCCATCCATCCATCCATCCATCCACCCATCCACCCATCCATTTCCCCATCATTTAGTCTTTCATTCATCTGTTTATTTTTACCTTTGTTATAGGGAAACTCATAAAGAAACAAATTATGTATAAAGTGGTATGAGCTCAGTTGTGCTACAGTAATTCATGCTTAATGAATTTAACCAAAAAAGTTGTTTTTTATGCATTTACATATTCATTAGAGGTTTTATTGGATAGGAACTCTGATTACTTTAAGATTCTGGCTGATGGACTAACTGTTACCTGGTTATAGTAGCAGAGGGAGGAAGAGCTCTGCTAAATGGAAGTTAAATGGTCTAGCATGAGGACCAGTAAGGTTCATTTTCTTCCTGAGTCTTCAGGGTGAAAATTCCAATGTTTGCTAAATAGTATTGCTGGGCACAAATTGTTTTTTAAAAATTTCTCTACAGATAATTTCCAATCACCAGGTGATGTGACAATTGTTCATATTGGTCAAAACAAGAATTGTCCTAAAGTCTGGGGCTGAAGTTAATAAAAGAAGCCAAGAATGGATTTTTAGAATTTGAATACGCATTTCAGGCCACTGTTTGTTAAACCTCACTTTTCAGAAATGATCTTTCTCTGTGACTTAAAAAGATTTTTTGGGGGGACTTCCGCCAAGATGGAGGTGTAGGTGGAAACGCCTTGCGTACTCACACAACCAAATCTAAAAACAACAAAGTTTTAACAACAACAAACGCAACCAAACCACATAGAAAATCGACAATGCAAAGTCCGAAAACGAGATGCCAACCTTTTGGTTGGCCAAAAAGATCCCCAACCAGGGTGGTGCGCAAGCAGCCGAAGGCCCACGCATTTGCGTGCAGATAAACCAGTGAAGAGGCGAGCATTGAAACCTCACAGTGCAGGGCAGTGGGCTCACATATTTCTGCTCAGATAAACAGGCTGAGGCCAGCGGTGGGACGGACTAGGCGAGCGGAGAGGACTGCCATTGCTCCCTCTCTGACCCTGTCCCCCCATCGAGAGTCACAACCCAGCGACCTGGGTGGCCCTGCCCTGGTAAACAACTAAGGCTCCGCTCCTCATACGTAACAGGAACAAACAGGTAAAAACATGGATCAAGAACAACTCAGAGCCCCAGAGCTGATAAATCTAAGTGATGAAGAAATAGCAAAACTTTCAGATGCATAGTTCAAAACACTGGTGATCAGGATCCTCACAGAACTGGTTGATTTTAGTCACAAATGAGAGGAACATATGAAGACTAAACTAATTGAAATGAATGGTAATGCACAGGAAACCAATAGTAATGGAAAGGAGACTGGAACTCAAATCAAGGGAGTAGACCAGAAGGAAGCAAAAAATGACCAAACAGAAAAGAATGAAGAAACAAGAATTCAGAAAAATGAGGAGAGGCTTAGGAACCTCCAGGACATCTTTAAACATTCCAACATTCGAATTATAGGGGTACCAGAAGGGGAAGAGGAACAGTCACAAGTGGAAACCTTATTTGAACAAATAATAAAAGAGAACTTCCCCGTTCTGGCAAAGGAAATAGACTTCCAGGAAATCCAGGAAGCTCAGAGAGTCCCAAAGAAGTTGGACCCAAGAAGGAACACACCAAGGCACATCATCATTACATTAGTCAAGATTCAAATGAAGGAGAGAATCCTAGAAGCAGCAAGAGATAAGGAGACTGTCACCTACAAAGGACTTCCCATCAGACTGTCAGCTGATTTCTCAAAAGAGACCTTACAGGCAAGAAGGGGCTGGAAAGAGGTATTGCAAGTCAGGAAAACCAAAGACCTACAACCAAGGTTGCTCTATCCAGCAAAGTTTTCATTTAGAATGGAAGGACAGACAAAGTGCTTCTCAGATAAGATCAAATTCAAGGAGGTTATCATCACCAAGCCCTTATTATATGAAATGTTAAAGGGACTTACCTAAGAAAAAGAAGATAAAAAAGATGAACAGTGAAAGGACAGCAAACTCAGTTATCAACAACCACACCTAAAACAAAAGCAAATTAAGAGGACAGCTAGATCAGGAGTGAACCATAGAAATGAAGATCACGTGGAGGATTAGCAACAGGGGAGTGGGAGAAGGAGAAGGGGGGAGAAGGTACAGAAAATAAGTAGCATAGACAGTAGATATAAAATAGATAGGGGGAGCGTAAGAATAGTAGGGGAAATAAAGAATCTAAAGAACTTGAGACACGTGTTCATGAACTAAAGGGGGGGAATGGTGAAGGAGGATTGTGCAGGGAGGAGGGATATGATGGGGAATAGAACAAATGTAATGGCATAATCAATAAAAAATAATGTTTTGATAAAAAAAATTTTTTTTGGCTATGTAGTTCAGATGAGAGAGATAGAAAAACAAAGTGAAATGTAGTACACACAGACTCAGCTACAAACCACTCACTCCCAAAACCTCCATCCTGGTCGGTTTTTGTTTTTGTTTTTCCTTCTCAGCTCATAAGATTAATTTTGTTCAGGTAATTTCAATTTCTATGTTATTTTGTAAGTTAAAAAATGAGACTAATAATAGCAGAGAAATTTAAAAACTGCTTTTTTTAATGCATTTTTTGTCCCTTATTTTTTGAAAGTCTTAGCTTTGCTCACTGTGCTTGCTGCTTTATTTCTTTAAAACTGTCCAGAGAAAATGTCCCTTCCTCATGAAGTATCTGCAAAATCTGGTGTCCCACATGCTTGCGAAGGGCCAAGTGAGCAACCTGCTGGCCAACTGGCTTCATGTCTGATAGGCTACTGGTGAAATCCTTGGAGATGTATGCTGAGAGCCACACACAACAGTTTTCAGGTGTTTCTGGCAGCTTTAACATCCCAGAGTATTATGTAAATCTCCCAGAGGTGAGGTACCCTCCTCCTTTGGGAAAACAGGATTGTATAATGTCTTCCTGAGGTTCCATGCCTTCTCAAAGATATGAACAAAATATTGCAGGAGGATTTGGGAAGTGTATTTTTGTCCCCATACAGCTGTTACCTTCAGTCTCTCATAGTCTTTGCCTTAAGAAGAATTTGTAACTGGGAGACATGAATGGTCTTTCCTATGATTGTGCTCTTCACCCTGAGTATGCAGGCATCAGGCATCTGAAGAGAGAAAAACTGATGCAACTAAAATTAGAGGTTTTCTTCAGTACTTGTCACTTATCATCTTGTAAGATAAGTATCTGGGGTCATACTTCTTGGTAATACTTCAAAGTTCTCATACTTCTCAGCAGCCTAGAATAGTCACCAATCTCAAGATGATCCCTGTTTGAGGTGTTCTATTCAAGATGTGATCATTGTAAGGTAGTTTTATTTACTTGCAGCAAGTAAAGGAGACAGGGAATTACACTCAAACCACTGTCTCTGGAAAGGAAGTCTTAGTCATTGCTTATATAAACTATTTGGTCAATTACATGCTGATTTCTTCTTTGAAGTTGGTTATATTTATTCCTGTCAAGCTCATCCTGTTTACAGCTGGTCTGCAAAATACCATGCTACATTTTAACACTTGGCAAGACGCAGCGTTGAAAACAACCCTGACCATAAGACCCTTGTTCTAACAGGGTCAAGGAGAAGCAAACCCCATTCCCCTCATGCCAATCCAGCACTCCTCCACTGTCAGCATTTTTCTCCCAGCCTGACATGACCAGACATTCTGAGGCCTGACTGATGACAGGCAAATTCATGCTGGCATCAGCCAGACCGAGGGGCAGACTGTAGTTCATAAAATTATCCTCCTGAACTGCTTTTATCCTCACAAGACCAGGTGCTGCTTCTCCACTTTTCACTTGCCCTCCCAGAGGTCTCAGTTTTTTTCTTCTTTTTGTTTTTTAAATCCTCTTTTGAGGATACATTTATTCATTTTAGAGAAGGAGGGAAGGGTGGGGAGAGAGAAACATTGAATAGATGCCTCTCATATGCATGCCCACAGGGTACTGAACTTGCAACCTAGGTATGTATCCTTAATGGGAATTGGACCCATGACCTTTAGGTTTACTGGATGATGCTCCAACCAACCAAGCCTCATCAGACAGGGCTCTTTTTCCCCCCCTTAAATCCTCCCTTTCTTATACCTTCTGAACCAAAACAAAAATTCCAGCAATTTTGTCCCCCCACTTCTCTGGGGAGAGGCTCCACTCTTCTATCTTTGCCTCCACCAAGAGAATTTCAGCTTCTTCATCTGCAAGCAAACTTCCTCCTACATGGAGAGCAAACATGCACACACAGCACTCATACCACAAACCATGCACAGGATATACACAGCACATACAAATCCAGCACACGCTCATATCAGTACAAGGGAGACATTACACAAAAATGTATCACATGCCAAACACAAAAACAGCATGCACACATATTGACATCACACATACTATACTAACAATCACTCCACACAAAAGAACATACCACATAAAATACACGCAGCCACATCAAAAAGAACATACTACATAAAATACACGCAGCCACATCACACACATCACACATACATTCACATACTACATTTCTATACACATACATTATATAAACACATATATAGTCAGTCACACACAAATTCCCACACAGAAACACCACATACACCTCACCCCAGGCACAGATCACATGTGGCAGCCAGCATGAAGACAGACTTCTAGAGTTGGAACCCAAAGGAAGCAGAGACATTACCATACCCATCTGGCTTCAGAGAAGGGAGGCAGGGAGTGAGGGGGGTGTTGAAGCCACAGTGGCTTGGTTCTGCTCCATCTCCTGGATGTTTCTTGCTGCTCCTCTGCCTGAGGCCTTCCCAGCATGACTGGAGACTGGACGTACTATAGGGACTGGAGTCAGTGGCTAATACCCTGCTTTCCCACTTATTTGTGCATTAATTCTGAGACACATTTTACCCCCTTCTTCAGAGGGCCCTGGCAAGACAGCCCCACCTGATCCCTGGGAGTCATCATCTCAATATGTGCCCTTCCCTGAACTTTCCTCATTCTTATGTTACTTACCCTCCCCCACACACCAAACTCCTCTTGTCCTCATGTCCAATCTGCCTCGGGACAACACAGACAGACTCACACAGCTCACTGCATCTGCTTTATAGTGTCTCAGACTATTTCAAGGGTGGCTTCTATCTCCCTTCCAACACCAGGTCTGGTCCTTGAACTCTTGTCTTAGGGGTTTTGGTTCTGTCCCCAGGTGTCTGGTTCTGTCCCCAGGTGAATTGTGTCCCTCAGAAAAAAAAGAGATGCTGGATTTCTCGACTCTATTACTTCAGAATGTGACCTTATTTGGACTAGGGTCTCTAGAGAAGTGAGTTAAAATGAGGTCATTAACATGAGCCTGAGATCCTCCAAAGGAGTCTTTATAAAAAAGTGAAATTTGGACTGAGACAGATACTCACAGAGGGAAGATGAAGCGAAGGAACACAGGGAGAGATGGCCACTTGGTCACCAGGTGGTATCAACTGGGTGATAACCTGTCTCTACTTGGAGCATCAGCATAATGGGGGGGAACTGCCCCCCTGCCCCGAAATGGAGAGGGGTGGAGATGTGCTGCAGATGCCACATACATGTGTTTCTCCAGCAATCAGGATGACATGCACATGAGTCAGGAAAAAAGAGGTACCCAAGGATGGTACTCAAAACTAGGAAGGTGATTGGATGGGAGGGACATACCTTTCCATCTACTTCTAGCCCACAGGTTTCTGAAGGAGCCTTTAAAAGGAGAGCAAGCAGAAATACTGCTCTCTTGGATTCTTCATTCCTTCCTGACTGACAGGAGCTGGAGTTCCTGGGCCTTGGACCTTGGGAACTGGGTGGCTTGGGATTATACCTGGGGAACCTCCCTGAGTGCTCCAGGGGAGGCTTGGAGTTTAGCTAGCTCAGGTAAAAGGAGAGGGAAAGAGGCTGAGGCCT